AAAAGCCAACCATCAACCCCCAAAAGCATCCTCCTCCCAGCTCCTGATGCAGTGCTTTGCAACCTCGGACCCCTCCCTGTGCTGTCAGAACACTTTGCAACCAGATGTAGAAATGCAAAGGAAATATTTAATTTTCTTAGGGGGAAAAAAATAATAATTAAAAAATCCCTGACAAAGTGCTTTACAGAGGATCCTCACCAACGAGGTGGGAAAAACAGAAGGCATTTTACAGAGGGTGTTTGTGTGAGTGGGGGAAACTGAGGCACAGTGCGGTGATGGGTGCAGCAGCCGAGCCTGGGGGGGATGCAGTGCTCTCAGAGCTGTGTGCCACCCAGCAGCCCCACTCCTCTCCTGGGAGCAGCTGTGAGTGCTGGGGGTCTGTGCATGGTGAAGGCTGCAGTCACCCAGAGATGCTCTGAAGGATGTCCCATGCCCCGAAGGCACTGCCCAGCATCCTGGCACCGTTACTGTAGGGACGCTGGCACCGCAGGGACACCCCTGCTTGGGTGCCAGGTGGATGGAGAACAGAGCTCACCAGGTGTCACTGTGCCTCGGTGGCTGATTTGGGAGAGCAGATCCAAGCAGCAGGACCTGGGTGCACAGCCCAGCCTGGGCACATCAGGAGGTGACCGACCATCCCATATCCAGGCCTGGCAGAGTCCTGGCACAGCCAGGGGACACGGAGCCCCAGGCAGGATCCCAGCGTTGGCATCACAGCCCCGGGGTGCTTGGGATGCTCAGCCACGTGTGTAGATCACAGCACAGCCCTGGTGCTGGACTCAGCAGCATCTCTTGGTGGGTTTGTCTTCAGGAGTGAGCTTGATGGAGTTGGTTAAATAACTCTCGTAAATCCCTTTATACTGGAAAAAGAAAAACAACGAAACAACACAGAGAAAGGAAGTGATGAGCGGAGCTGCCTCAGCCTGAGCACAAGCAGATGAATGTGAGCCAAGGAGAAAGCAGCGCAGGCTCGCTCCCAATTTGCGGTTAAGGACAAAATCCAGGCAAAAGGCATTCGGCTCCGAGCGGAGCCACCGCCCCAATGGGGACACGGGGACACGAAGGACGGCCGCTAGAGGACAGTGGTGGCACACCGTGAGCAGATCGACAGGGATTCTTGCTCCTTCCCGACTTGTTAGAGACGGCTGCACGGAGCAGGCAGTGCTCACCGTGGTCAGGGCTTGCTTGGCGAGCGTCTCGAAAGCTTCTGCCACGTTGATGTTGTTCTTGGCGCTGACTTCGAAGTAAGGGATGTCTTTTTCCTTGCACCAGGCGGAGGCAATTTCTTTGGACACCTGCAGGAAGGCATCCATGTCACAACCCTGCATGGGCACTGCCTGCTGTCCCCATGCTTCCCACCAGCCCTACCTGCCGGTCACAGAGGTCTATTTTGTTCCCCAACACGACCATGGGGAAATCGTGATCCCTTGGGATGACCTTCTCCAGAAAATCATCTCTCCAGTTGTCCAGGGACTCAAAGGACTCCCTGTCTGTCACATCAAAGGCCAGCATGCATCCATCAGAGCCCTTGTAGAAGGTCGACACCATGGACCGGAATCTCTCCTGTCCCCCCGTGTCCCAGATCTAGGGCAGAGAAAGGCATGGGCACACCAACAGGCATTTGGGGACATGGGTGTCATGGATGCAGGGCAGCAGGGTGCCTCACCTGCAGCTTCAGGGGGGTTTTGTCCACTGCGATGACCTTGGTCAGGATGCTGGCGCCCAGCGTGGTGCGATAATCTTCATAAAAGGTCTGGTGCACATATTGGTGCAGGAGGGAGGTTTTGCCCACACTGGTGGGATGGAAGGGACACAGGTGAGGGCTGTGAGCTGCAGAGCCAGGCTTGAGGGGTTGGGTGCAGCCAGCATGAGGGCTGTGCACCCATAGGTTCACGGGATGGGGCATGCGTGGGGTTCCCCCATTGCTTGCCCTGCATGGACAGCATGGAGTTTGGCAGCACAGGATTTTGAGGAAGGAAGAATTTTGCATTGCTTAAAAGCACAGAGAGACTCAGCAGCCCCAGGGATCCGTGTGGCTCCTTACCCCAGAGCTCCTATGATAATGATCTTCAGATCCACCTTTTTGCTGGCGTCCATGGATGGGCCCTGAGGGACAAGGAGAGTCACACACTGAGTGCTGGCAAAGAGACAACCTTGGTGAGATCCAGTGCTGGAGGTGCAGGAGCAGCTGTCGGCCCCTGTAGCCCCTCCCTGCTCCCTCCCAGCACCACAGAATGTGAACTGAGCTGTGCCAGGAGCAATGCTGGGAGCAGAACCCCCTGTGCCAGCCCAGCCCACATCACCACCTGGGACTGCTCCCCATTGCCGCAGCACGCCTGGACATGCTGCCATGTGAAAGCCTGCCGTGAGAAACCTCCCAGCCTTTCTGTCTCCTTCTGAAGTGCAGTTCCCTCCCCATAAACCTGACAAACAGGGAGGGGGGAATTGCATTTACAAAAGGAGATCGCGGCTGGGTGGCATTGCTTGGCTGCTCCAAGCACTTCAGGAGCGCTCTGAAAGGCAGGAGCTTGTGGGGGAGATGTGACCTCGGTGACAGCTTCAGTCCTGGTTAATAATCACTGCTGAGGGCAATGCCCGTGTCAGGGACTTGAGCCCTTTGCTGCCTCTTTTGCACCTGTAAGAAGAGCCCGAAACAGGAGCTGGGGTTTTGCTTTGGATTTCTGCATAGTCCCATGCGAGCCCTGAGCACCGCAGCACCCCTCCCCAGCAGGGACAGCGCGCAGTGCCATCCCTCCTCCCCGCACCGCAGCGCCAGCCCCGCTCTGTCAGAAAAACCCTTGAAGCCCTGGAAGCACTCACTAATCCCTGCATTTTTTCCCGATGCGTTGTCCGGCTCCGCGCAGCTCTCCATACACAGGGCGTGAGCCGCACGCTTCCCCCGCCAGGACGAATCGCCCACCCGGATCCCAACTTTCCCACGCACCCCATCCACGATGCTCACCGAACCCCGTGCCGAAACTCACCCAGCCCTCCCTGTCCCCTCGCCAGCCTTCCCAGGGCCGGCAGTTCTACACCCCGCCCCAAAGCTTTGCACCGAAGGGGTCTGAATTTTGCGCACCCACCTTTTGGGGCATCGTCCGCTGGGGCCGGAGGTGCTGAGCTCTTTTGGGAAGAGCGAGAGGAGGAGCAGGAAACGGCGTTGGCCCCAGCGTTGGTTCCTTCTGCTCGAGGGAGGGCGGCTGCTTTCCCCCGCGCCGTGACATCAGCACGAAGGGGCCGGGAGCTGCGGGGCGGGCGGTGGTGCTGCGGGGCTGGGCTGAATTCTGGCGTTCAGCATCGCTCTATTTGCACGGGAACCAGCACGGACTTTGCTCGGTTGCTCTGCTGAGCAGCGCGGTGGGTTTGGAAGAAGCGGGGGCTGCAACGGTCCGTTCCCCCATCTAAGGGGCTCTTTGCGGCTGCGTCTCCTTTCGCAGGCGAGGTCTGGAGCTGCAGCGTTCGCAGCCCTGCTGGCCGTGCCGTGTTCACGCTCAGCCAGCGCCCACATGTGCGCTGCCATCCCATGCACAGAAGATGGGGACGATGACATTAGGAGCTCTACGCTCAGATTCGACGGCAGCTCCTGGAGCAGAACGCGTGCAGCACACGAGGAGGATTTTATTGCTTTCCTCGCTCAGCAAAACAGATCTACTGAGCGGGGGAGCACAGCTGCTCCCAAGCACTGAGACATCTCCCCATGGGCATCGGGACCCAGTATGAGGTGTGTGCTGCAGAGACATCACAAGAACCCCCGATGCCATGGCTGCAGAGCTGTGCTTGGCAGTAGGAGCAGTGCTCGGGGAGCGATGCAGGCATGGAGGGGCAGGTCCTGAACGTTTGCCAGGGGTGCAGAAGAATTCAGAGCTTCCCCACCCTCTTTTGCGAACCCCCAGGCTCCCTCACCATGAACAGCAGCCACAGGCTGCTGCATTTCTGCTGCCTGCGCTCATTTTTTGCTTTGCTTGTTGGCTGTCCCCAGCACCAGGTCACAGCCCAGCAGTGACTCATGCTCAGCAAGGCTGGAGCTTGCAGCCTCACGTGCTCTCTGTCAGAGGACAGCCCTGAACCTGCTCTCCCTTCTATCTGCAGAAGCTCCTTGTGGGATCCAAGAGATGGCTGTGCTCAGCAGGACAAACTCTCTTCCTCCTTCCCAGGTGTAATTTTGGGACCTGTCTGGCCAGAAACTCTGCCTTTCCCCCACAGGGCAGGCAGAGGGAGGGGTGGGGAGGGTGGGAGAAGCACCTGAGCTACCAGCCTGCGCGCAGCTCTCTGTTTGGTGGATGGCACTCACACACCCAGAGCAGCTCTCTCCTGCCTTCTCCTGGTCCCTATTTGCAGCCTTTTGGTTCTGCTGCTTCACTTTTGCCCTTGCAGGATGACTCTGTGGTGTCTGTTGCCCCAGATCTGTCTGTCCTCCTCCTCCCCATGTGCCCATCAGCCTGGCAATGGGTGATGCTCACCGATCAGATGATCCCCGTGTCTCCATGTCACCAGAGATGGGCTGTGTGGTTGCATTACCACAGCTGATGCCCACTTCTGCTTTTGTGCAGGAAGGCCCAGACCCATCAGAAGCCCAGCCTGGGCTGGTGGTAGCTCTGCTTTTGCGTGGTTTCTGACGAAAATGGATTTTCCTGGGCTCCTGCACTCATCACCACTCTAAGAGCAGCTGGGGCAATCTTTGTGCAGTGCCAAGCAATGCTGCAGGCTGATGCTGTGACAGCTCCCTTGGCTGCTCAGCAGCTCCTGAAACCACAGCTACAGTCCTGCTTGCTTCACCCGTAGTCAGCAATTCCAAGGGCAAAGTGTGGGAGTTTGTGCCCTGTGGCAAGGAGGAAGGGCTTGCAGCTGGGAAACAATGAGGCACAGGATGGCTGCATGCAGAGGAGAGGCTCACGTGGGCAATGAGAGGACAAGTCATTCTCTGCAGCAAGCAGAATGAAGGAAGGGGAAGAAAGTAAAAAGTATCCCGAAGTATTCTCTATGAATCGTGCAGCTACTCCTGCTCTCCAGGGTCAAAGGGAGATCCCTGCTGAGATATTGCTGGAGCAACATCCCCTGAGCATCAGCTGGGTGCTGAGAGCTGTGGACCACTATCCACCTCTGCTGTCTTCCCCCTCTCTGAAGCCCACCAAGGGGGCATGGGTTGCTCTGGGATCCCAGGAGCAGATGGCACTGGAGGGGTGATCCTGGATAGGTCCAGGCAGTGCCACCATCATTTAGGGACACCGTGTGGTCCCTCGCTGTGCTGGATGCCCCCCCCTCACCCATGGCCGTGGTGATGGACAGGTCCTGCAATGCTCAGCAGCACCGTGGTGTGCAAAGCGTTAAGCTGTCAGGAGCTGCAGGAGGAGAGCAGACCTTTGTCCAGCTGCCCCTGCACCTTATCTGCACAGTGCCTGGGTGAAGCACAGCGAAAGGTGATGTCAATACAGCAAACAGTTACAGAAACCATATGCTGGTCAGCAGCACAATCAGTGTTTCAATGTAAGGCAGATATTTCCTTTTGTGGCAAACAGAAATCCAAAGCCTCAGTGTTTGCTTCCAGCTCTGAGCTTTGCAGTGACCATTCAGCTCTGCTCTGGAATCGCTGCAGGGGGACCTGGGCACCCCAACCCAGCCCTGCTCTGAGCTCAGCCCCGCAGCAGCAAGGAAAGCTGTGCAGAGCCATGGATAAAAATAACCCTTCCCTGCACTTCCCCATGTGCTCAGGATGCATCATGCATGAGCCAGCATGCATCACCCGCATCCCTTGCACTGTCAGCAATCACATGCCCTGCATTGGCTCCCGGGGAGGGATGCAGCTCCCTGAGACCCCCGCAGCCCCCAACCCACTGTGCTGGCTGCAGAGATTTGGCAGCATGCAGCTCTGTGCCTTCGTGCACCCACAAACCACAGTCCTTTGAGAGCGCCTCGGGGGTTTGAAGGAAAACCTGCTGGAAATCACCTGCTGTGCGGGGAGTTTTGTGGCACAGAAAGAGCCATGGGGTTGCTTTGCTCTCATAATGATCTCCTTGTTTGTTGGTGGCAGCTCAGCCTGCTGAAGCCGTGCATTTTGTTCTCTGCCCTCCCAACCCCTGCCCTGCCCAGATTCACCTCCCGGGGATTTCTGAGCAAATTTTCCACTTCTTCCACTGCAGAAATCCCAGTGACAGACCAAATGAACAGCACGGTGTCCTCCTACAGCTCACTCCAGCACAGTAAGCACTGAGGGTGCATGGGGAGGAAGACCCAGGCCGGGGCAATAGAGACCTGCAGTATCACTGCTTTAGGAATGGCACCACTCCGGGTTCTGTTTTACCAAAGCCTTTATTGAGCTGTGTTCAGAAAAATGACAATCTGCAGGGCGTGCTCCGCAGGGCTGCCCAAGGCGTTTTGTCTGCACTCCTCGGCACGGAGTGAACCTCTGTGTGCTCTGCACTCCCCAGCTTGGGGGCTTCTTCTCCATCCCCATGGCACTGAGCAGCTCCTGCCCCACTCGTGGCCACGGCCGCAGCCCGGCGGCTCCACTTCCCTCCCACCCCATAGGACTCACAGCCCTAAGGGGCAGCAGGTGCGAAGCCCACCCGGTTATTTCCACGGTCGAAGACGGAATAATACTGTCGGATGAAAACGTCACCCAAAATCCAGAGGGGTCCAGCAGGAGGGGGGACATCCATACCCTGGAAGCCACTGAAGCAGATGTCCATGCCGTCACTTTGGTCCTGCAGGGAGAAGAGCGATGTTGGGGTCAACACAAGAGCACACAGAAGGAGAAGGAAGGGGGATTTGGGGTCCTGGGAACACAGAAGGTGGGAGTTGTGGGTACCATAAGGGTGTAGGCTTGGGCAGAGAGCACGTAGGGGATCCCGTTGATGGTGAAGGTGACGATGGGCATCGAGCTCAGTCGGCTGCAGTCCACGACGTACTGCAAGAAAATGGGGATGGCTCACATGCCAGCACTGTGCGTTCCTCTTCCCCCACCACCACCTTGGCTGTGGTCCCCTGACTTTAGCACATGGATAGCAATGAATGCAGAGATCTTTGCTGTGATGGGAATGCCTCAGTGCCACAACACACAGTGCTACCCTCCTTTGGGTATCCCTTGAAGCACTCCTCCCAGCAGTGCCCATCCCCAGGGCTTTGCCCCTGCTCTCCCCCCTCTCTCTCACCTCACCATCCATAGGTGTGGCACCAATATATCTTTGCATCTCCTTTATGTCCTTGGTGGGACCAGTGAGCAGCGACGTGCCGGTGTCCACGATGGCCTGGCAGCCATTGGCACAGAAAGCCACTGTCCCCCCTATCTGCACGCTGCGGGAAGGTGCAAGAGATGGGGAGAACTGGGGGATGACTGGGAAGGACCCCAAGCCCCCACGCTGCCCAGCCCCACTCACTTGTCCAGCTGGATCTGCCAGTAGCCCTGCACTGTGACTGGCACCCAGTGCAGGGTGCCCAGGAAGTGGGAGGGATCAAAGCCCCCAAAGAGCACTTCTCCACCCAGGGAGGAGTCCGGATTCCTGGGGGAAGGAGGGGGATGTGAGATATTTATTTTCCTTTTCCATCTTAAAAAAATGTGGGTTGATACCCGCATGCTTCCCACAGATGCTCAGGGTTTTAGCCTCACTCTGGTACGGTCTGAGCTCTGTGATGCTCAGCATGCTACCGAAAAGCCTCCTTGCCATCCTGTTGCAGCAGCACCTGCTGCTCCCTAAAAGCAACACCTGCACCAGAGCAACACCCCGCAGCAGAACCACATCCTTACGCGCTCATATAGACAGAGAAGATGGGCAGTTCCACCAGATCTTGGGCCATCATGTTGTCAAAGACAGGGGTGACCCCATCCACGGCCAGCGAGGGGTACGCCAGCCCCAGGATCCCATCAAATTCCGAATCCTGGAAGGCTTTTCCCGGCTCACTGACGCTCTCTGCAAAGGGCTGGTTGCGCACGGTCATGCCTTCCACCTGTGGGATGGACGGGGCTCATTGATGGCTCTGGGACATCCCATGTCGTGACTCAGAGGATCTGAATATCACTCACAGTGACTTGATCAGAGCCAATGATGCCAGTCAGGCTGCCGGTCCCGTACTGGATGGAGATGGGGAGGCCCAAGGGCTGGTAGGTGCTGGAGCGTGATGGCTGGAAGCGGGCGTGCTCGGCTGGGGAGAGAGCAGTTTGCCAGAAAAGTGGGCATGCAGGGGTGCTTTGGAGGGCTTTGCTGGGGGGGAAGGGTGAGCTTGTGCAGTATTTAATGAGAGCTGATGATCACCAGTGCTGTTCCCAGTGCGCAGACAGTGATTCTTGCAGCCCATCACTGCAGGCTGTGCTGTTTCTGGCTTCGTTCCCCAACCCCTTTGTGCTTTGCAAGGCATTGCTGCGTGATGTGCTGCAGTGCTGGGAGCTCAAACAAGCACAGCACTTGTCCCCAGCCCAACCCTGGGCACCCAGCCCAGCACTGTGGTCTCTGTGCCTGCCTTGTTCCTGCCACTCAGCTCCTCGCTGACCATCCGCATTATGTGCTATAATCTCTCCTTGTTTGCTTAATGGCCCTCCCATAAGAATGGCCCAAAGAGCCCGGCTGATATCTCCCACGGGCTGATGGTACCGGGTCCTGCTGGTGTGATTGCTGCCAAGCAAATAAACCCACGCTGCTCCTATCCCCACTGCACCCCATGCAGAGTGCAAACACTGCACCTCTTGCATCCTGCTGCTGCTCTGACCCCATGGCCCCACTGGGAGCTACTTTGCACAGTCCGACTGGTTCAGGGATCCCCTACTCACTGCAGGCTTTGCTGGTGCAGTAGATGGATGGCACCCAGAGGTTGGAGGAGCCCGTGTCAAATATCACTGTGAAGTTCTGGGGTGGGGTCCCGATGGAAATCTGCCCGAAGTACTCCATCTGGGAAAGGTAGAGCAGAGGCTGCTGTTGCTCACTGGCATCACAAAGCACCCTGGCAGAGGGGCTGTGTGTGAGGTGAATAGGGATCAGTGTGAGGATGGCTGCATTGTGAAGCGTTTGTCTGCCTGGGCTGCACTGTGCAGAGGGAATAGAAAAGCCAAATATTTAAGGAACAGAAATGTAAGCTGAAAATAAAGGCAGGATGGTGGCTGTGGACACGAGCCTCTTCCTGAAGGGTTGCAAGGTAGGGTCCCCTTATACTCCCCACCATAGAGATGCAAACAATACATGGGGCTCTGGAGACCCCCTTTGCCCCTGTCTGTGCATCCCCTGTGCAGAGGCCTTCTCTACTGCTGCAGATGGAGGGGAATTTGGCCTCCTGGGCCTGGGTGGTAGCACAGAGCAGGCAGGGGGAGGGCTGGCAATGAACACGCTGCCTTGTTTGTGCTCAGCATCATCTGCAGGAACAAAAGGAGCAGCCGGGTGCAGGCAGCCACCATCCCAGGCATGCTGCAGCTCGTTCCTTGAGCAGGAGCAGATTTATTTGAGAAGGATTTGGGCTTTCAGGAGCACTCATGCAGCACAGCAACCTTTGAGGGCGCTCAGGGGCTGCCACCACCTCCACTGCACTTACATCCAGGTAGTTGATGAGGGGCTCGTTGGCTTCTCCGAAGAGCGAGCAATCCTGGGTGTACTGCACCATGTCGAGCTTGTGGGCCTTCCAGAACTGGGAGAGCTGCCCACGGTCCCGCAGTGACTTCCGCAGGGAGCGGTGCCGCGTCAGGGTCACCCTGCAGAGCACGGATCCGCATCACTGCACGGGCACAGGGCACGGGATGCTGCAGCCCCTGTGCCCCTGCACCCACCCCGAGCATCTCCCAGTGCTGATGCAGCCCTCAGCTGCGTCCTCACCTCCCAGTGCCTGTATGGGAGATAGCAGCAGTGCCCTTTCCCCGGGAACCCCTCAGCACCCTGCAGTCCCCTTTACCTCTTCAAGCCGCTGCATGGGGCGAGGCAGAGCACGGCGAGGAGGAGGAGGAGGAGGAGGAGAAGGCTGTGCATGGCGGCGGTGCAGGGCTGCACGGCGAGGTGGTTCTTATACCAACAGGTACACCCTCGCCCCGCGCTATCAGCGATAACGCCCCTCTCCGTGTCAACACTGGGCTTTGGCTGTGGCAATGAATCACTGGGCACCTCTCGGTCAGGTCAGAACGTCGGGCTGCTGGGGAGGCGAGGGGCTGGGCCGTGTGGGGCTGTGTATGGGGTGGGCAGTGGGGGGCTTTTTTCTTTCCTAACCCTTTTTTTTTCCGCTAGGGCTGCAGGAAGGGGATGTTCAGATGGTGCCGAGCTGCCTCGAAAAGGCAAAGAGCTCTTTAGCCTTGATGAGCTGCTCAGGAATCTGCAGCTTTGCTTTTTGTCGTGGAAGCGCAGGCTTTGGCAAGAAGCTGCTTTGCTTTAGGAACGGTTACACGTTGCCTTACAGCCACTCATGCGTTCTTCCTCAGTGGTTTCTGTTTCACGCTGGACAGCCATCTCATTAAGCATCTGAGAATGCAAATAAAGGATGCTAATGAACAAACACAGCTCCTATCTGCTGCTGAGGCTTTGTCTTCCTCTGGTTGTTTCCCATGTTTGTGGCCCTGCAGTGACTGATGATGGATGCCACAAGGAGAGGTTTGAGCAGCACTCACGTTATTAACAGCATTTCTACCCTTAGCGCAGCGCTAATCAATTTCCCATTTATCGCGGTTAGACTGTTTTATTTAATCTTATTTAATTAATGGCAAAGCAATCGGCTCTGAGGGGTCCATAAATGCACGGCAGCCACCTGGAACGCTCTGTACTGGGATGGATGGAGGTGGTTCTGCTAACACTGGGCTGGATCCCAGGCCAGGAGCAGATCTGCTGTGTGTCCCCACGTCCCTGCACCCAGGCTGGCAGCTGCACCCTTTGCACTGAGCAGCCCTTGCACAAAGTCATCCCTATCATATTTAAGACACTGTTTCATACACCTTTCCCTACAGTTCCATGCATCCTCCCTCCTTGTCCCAGTAATACGTGGGACATAAAGGATTAGAAAAAAAGCAAACCTTCCTATAAGGAAAATAACTGCAGCAGGGGGAGGATCAGCCAAATGCCATCCGAGGAGGCACAGCAGCACATCCACTGCTCCAGATGTGCCTTATCCATTGGAAATCCCATAATAAACTCCTCCTGTACTCAGGCTGTGTGGGGAGCGTGAGCTGAGTGCTGGACGTTTGGTACTGGAAAAGATTCCTTCTTGGGTCAGAGTTGGAATGGCCACAGGGAGCAGGGATGCGCTGTGGATGGGAAGCGACCTCCCCTCAGCTCCATTTATGGCACCTGACTCATTACAAGAAAACTGCTCTCAGTTTTAGCTCTCAGGCTAAAAATAGGTTATCTGCATTCTTTTTTTTCTTTGTATTTCCTTTCCTTCAGCCACTTCCACTATTAGCAATGGGTGATTCACATCATACCCGAGCATCACCTTCTGAAAAGCCTTTTTCCTCTGATTATCAAATCCATCTCCCACCTGCTAATCTGTTTGCATATCACAGAAAGAGTAAAATCCTGTAACAGCAGCACTGAAAAAAATTAAATATTTTTATTTCAGAGGGCGATAAACAACCAAACTCCACCTAAATATTTACCCACAGCAACAGCAGCTGATGGGTGAAGGCTGAGACCCAATGAAATCACCCAACAGCTCTTGGGAGCCCAGCTCAACCTCCTCACCTGGTGGTGATGGGGCTCTTGGGGGGCTCACACGGAGCATTTACCCCTCTGTAACCCAGAGTGTGCCTTGCTTGCAGTGGACCAACATTGTCTCCCTGCATTAGAGCTGCCCATGGGAGCACATGGTGCAGTTGGGTGGTGGGAGCTGTGTGGGGCTGCATCTTTCCCAGCCTAGGGCCCAACTTACAGCAGAGAAACACCCCAAAATATTTAAATGAGTGCATGCAAGCGTCATGGAACCCAGTGCCATCACTTCTGGGGGCAAAGCGAGACCGCATCCGGAGCCCAGTCATTGAGCACTGCTGTACCAGCTGCAGGCAAACATCCCCCCAAAATGCTCCAGAAACATCCCTGACATCTGCAGAACATCCCATCCATCTGCTCTGTGCCCCGAAGGCAGGACGGACGCACGGAGGTCTCCGCACCCCAGGTAACACCCAATGGGCACCCAATGCGCCGCGCTCGGTGTGGTGCTGGGCAGCATAGGGCTGTGCTGGGGCTGTGCTGTGCTCTGCGCTGTGCTGAGCTCTAGTGCTAAAACTGAGCTCCCAGGTCAGGCAGGAATAGGTTTGAAGTCATTTGGGGCAACGCCGTGGGTTTGCTTACCTTCAGATTGAGCGTCGACATCTTGTATTCGCAGCTCAACCAGCCAAGCGCTCTACAAACCTTGAGTGCAATGGGGCATCTTGCTATAGGTGGGGTTAATACACTGGGGGTGGGCAGGAGGGGGCTCACAACCCCTGAGACACCAAAGAAAGTACATGTGCTGCAGCCCTTATCTACAAAATAGGTATTTCAAGGCGCATCTGTGCGTTAATCTCTTCCATCTCAGTGCACCCCAGCAAAGAAGCTGCCTGCTGCTGGTGTTTGGGTTTGGGTCCTGCTTTGCTGTTTCCTTCTAAGCAGTTCACTTCTCAGATTGCTATCTGCTGCTGCAGCATCTCCTGCACCAAAATAGGAAATGAGCCGCTCGAACGACGGCCATTTGAGGAGGATATCTGGGGAGAGCTCAGATCAATGAGGGAAGGGGAAAATCCTGGTAAGGCATGGACTCCTAGCTCAGCAGGTGCCCAAGGTTGGGTAAGTGGAATGGTGCAGGAAAACGATGATATTCTGATGCTTTACTCTTGGGATTTTGGCCCAAGGGATGGATAGGGCCTTCGCTCTGTCGATCTGCATTTATCACTCACATCATTATGGCTCCTTTAATCACCATCTCTAAGCTTTAGCTGAAGATACCTCTGCATGAAAACCGAGGGCACTTTTTTGCGAGTGAGCACTGATGAAATGAAAGCTCTTGATTGCTGTCCTTCATTATAAATCCTCAAGCAGTACAGCCAAAAATCCCAAGCCAAGGAGCCCGCTTCAGGCACACGTATTATCTGATGTGCTTTAAGTCCTGTCAGCTTCAGCAGGATTGAGGCTCTCGCCTACAATGAAATCCGAGGTGTTTCAAGCACAGTTAAAGGGAAGTGCACTCCTCCATTTGCATTGGGATTTGAGCAAATGATTTCCTGCAGCACTTGGAAAATCCTCTCCCAGGTGCCCGGCGGGCGGCAGTGAAGCATCAAGCACAGCTTTGCCTTTTGGTTACTTTCTTCTACGATTTATTTTTGTCTCCAGATGAGAGTTATTGAGTATTTTTTTGCAGATTAAAAGGAAAAAAAAAAAAAAAAAAGTGAAGAAATGTGGAAGAGGATTAAAGCAAGGAGGATGCATTGCAGCTGGCGGTGATGGGGCTGTTATCAGCCCCGAAGCTCCGTGCTGGGAGCAGATAGAGCTGAGGGGATAAGGGCAGAGGGAAGGCAGAGCATAGGGGTGTGTGGGGCTGCCCATGTCTGTCTGTCTGTCTGTCTCCAGGAACCTCGGGGACGTTGCTGGCACCACACTGACGACGGAGATGGAGCGCTGTGAGTGGTGAGTGCTGGGGCACAGCTGGGGGTTGGGGTCTGGGCTGGAGGTCGGTGGGAGCCTTCTGCATCACTGCTGCTTGGGGTTTTCAAAATCCCTTCTTGGGATGGGACCTCTGAAAGAAGGGTGTGGAGCGTGGGGAGTTAAGAATAAAAAACAAAACTAAAAGCTCTGCCGGCAAACTTTGGGCTGAACAGGTTTGGAGGCCCTGTCAGCCAAAGCGGTGCCAAAAGATTTAAAATAATTCTAGTATTTCTTTCATTTGGGCAAAATCCTTTTCTCCCATTCAGGTGGGTTCCTGTCGCCACCTCAGCTGTGACCCTGCTGCTCAGTGCTCTGCTCCTGCTGCTGCTTTACATCATGCTCAGCAGGAAAATAGGTAACGCACCGAACTGAGCTCCTCCATCAGCCCTCAGCTCATAGAGGGGAAGGGATCTGCCCAAAGCTTCAGCACCCCCATCCCCGAGGCACCTCCAGCACCTTGTCCAGCCCTGGTTCTCTCTCCTGCTATGGGGCACTGGGTCTGGGCACCCCTACACCCCTCAGACCCCCCTGCTCAGCACCGATGTGGGGCCGCATTGATCGCAGCACAGCAGAGCAGCCGTGCACAGTGATGGTGTTGCACAGCCCAGGATGCCATGCTGTTCCAAAAACATTTTGTTTTTATTGCTCCGGTTAGAAGAGCAGTGGGGAAACAATGACAGAATCAATTTGCAATATCAGAATCCGGATGGAGCTGTGATTTCCAGCAGGAAAAGAAACGCTGCCCACATCTGCGCACAATGCGTGCTCTGCCGGGCCTGTGGGTCAAAGCAGATCTGAACTCATACATGGGAAGGGTCCCCGATGTGCTGATTTGACTTTGGAGTCTGGCATCGCGGAGAACAGGGAGCACATTTCATCAGCTCAGTAATTGAATTGACAGATATTTGCCCACTCCAATACAAAATAATAATTGCTGCTGTGCTACCCGCACCGAGCTGGCTTTGGGGAGCGGAGGGGGGATGAGCTGTGCAGGAAGCTGCAGGGGAACCGGGGAGAAAAAGCACCCAAATGGCCTTGGGGGGATGTGGGGGGGGGCCTGCAGCTGGCTTAGAGCTGCAGCAAAGGGCTGACCCCCTCCCCTCCCCTATTGCAGACAGGCACTGCTGCAGCGCACCGGTGAAAAGTGGTCCCACAGCACAGCCCCAGCAACCACCCATCTCTTCAGCTGGAGGGGAAGGGGTGCAACAACCAAACTACACGGGTAAGGGGGATCCTGCAGCACGGCCACGCGTTGCTTTGTGCTTTGTGCTTTGTGCAGTGCTTACATAGAGCTGCTCAGTGCAGCTCCTCCGGGTGCCAACGCGGAGCAGGCAGTCTGCAGCCATGCACTGTGAGCAGCAGCTGCGTGCATTTTGGGCCTTTCCTGCTCCTTGTGGGCAATGCTCGTGGGCAGGGGGATGGATGGGGTGGGATCACACTTTGCCATCTGCATTTTCGCTTTTCACTTTCGTCTGTGTGAGCATTATGGGCTGAGAGCATTCCCATGAGTGTGTCACTGCTAACGGTGGGGAGCACAGAGGCAGCCGTTTGTGCTGCTCACACTGTTCTCTAATGGCTTTTTCTCCCTCATTACACATTTCTGGGATACACGTCCTGTTTAGAAGGCAGCAGCGAGACGTCTTCAGAGACCTCAGAGGACTCAGACAGCAGCTCTCTGCACCCGCAGGTACGGAGCTGTGCTCCATAGGCAGAGCTCTGCCAAAAGCAATCACAGCTGCTACAGCCGTGGCAGCACGGGGAAGGCAAACACATCGAGATGTATTAAAACAACCAGTGGTACAACTGTAGGTGTTGTCCCCTGCCCCATGCAGTGCTGCCATAGGGATGTCCCCATGGGTGATGGGGGTGCCAGGGTGTTTCAGTTCCAGGACGCAGCCACCCTGAGGTGCTGCTGTCTGACCCAACACTGTGCCTGTTCCCCTAGGAAAGGAAAACCTGCTCAAAGGAAGACCTCAACTACACATCCGTGCTGTTCCCAGGGAAAGGCCGTGGATCAGGCTCTGATAGGAACTACGAGAACATAAAGATCGGCGCTGATTACGTCAACGTGGACCCAAAAAAGAAGAAAGCAGATTTTTGGACCTGCTCCAGCCCTGTGGCATCCAAATCCATCGAATACACAGAGGTGAAGCTGTGAAACTCCCTGGGGTCCCACAGCAGCCACTGCTCTGTGCCCAGGTCAGTGCTGGCACAGGGCTGCTGCCATTCCCTGTGATGGTGCAGCTCCCCCCAGGGATCTCTCAGGGTCGGAGGCTGTGGGTGTGGGGTGATGTGGGGCTGCCCCACACCTCCCTGTGGGGAAACGCTCCTTCTCAGACTGCCACAAGCTCTGCACATGTGTGTGTGAACGCCATTTTCTCATCCTGTGAAAGCAAAAGCTCCCCCAGCGGGATGTGGGTAAGAGAGGGAAATGCAATCATTTCCAAAACATCTCTCCATTGGGCTGACATATCCTGTGAATAATGCTTCCTTTGCTGATTGCTGTCATAAAAACCTTTTAAATATGCTCCATCCACCGGCTTCACCCTTCCTGCCCTCACACTGAGCCCTCCACCCTGCACCCCATTTTCCTTTGATGCTAAACCCCCTCAGGGCCTCATCATAGCCCATCACCTGGCACTGGGGTGGGCACTATGGGCATTGCCTCTTCCAGCTGCTGGAGATCACTGGGGCTCTAAATCTGCTTTGTGGGATGTGGGAGAAGCAGGATGGGACAGTGGCATCTGTGCATGAGTAAATCACTGCATTGCATTTTCCCTGCCTCCCACCTTTTGCTTTCCCTGCAGCAAACGTGTGGGGTGCAGGAGGTGATCTTCCCCACCCGAGCTGTGAGTGTGGCTCCCACCTCAGTTGCAGCTCGGTGTGACTGACCATGGCTCACCTGGGATGCTGCAGGGACAGCAGGAAGAAATCCCATTGCCTCCAGGTCCTGTGCCCTGCAGATGCTCTGCTCCTCGCTAAATAAGACAAAAGAAGCAGCAGCAGCGATTTGAGAACGGTTCTTTAATGTGCAGCAGCTGTTCAGCAGTGCAGAGCAGCAGCGTGCAATGGCTGCTGACGGCAGGAAGAAGAAACCTGGTGGGAGGGAGGCAGGGTCTGCTTGGGTGAGCTGGAGGTGGGCCAGGGCTCTTGCAGGCATCTCCTCAGTGGTGTCCATGCTGCATTTGGGGTGCTTGTACTACTGCACTGCAGTGCTGCAGAGGGGAAATACCTGGTGTAGTGCAATGCTGCAGAGAGCAATGCAATGCAATGCAATGCAATGCAATGCAATGGTTGTGTCTGCTGCAGCCCTGGGGACATGTGCAGACCCACAGGTCACAGGGAAGCCGTTCGCATTGGCTGCTCCACCTGCAAAGCCATGAGGCTGGGAGACAGGCAATATGACTGCAAGGAGCTCTCGAGCAGATGTGGCTGCAATGCCTCCTGCTGTGCTCAGACTGCTTTGCTGGCAGCTGTGAAACACCCAAAACTCTCGTAAAAGGGACTCTCCTAAAAGATGTGCTGATGCAGCATCCCCCATCAGATGCCTGGGTAACAAGAGGGGAGCAGGGTGGTGGATGGGGATGCATCATAGTGCATGGAGAGGTGAAAGCTGCACGTGGTGGTGGGCTGCCTCCATCTCCTGATGCACACAGCAGACGCAGCGCATGCAGGAGCAAAAGGAGGCTGGTGATACATTCTGGGTTAAGCACGCAGCTCCTGGTGAAACGCAATGCTACCAGGTGGGGAGACAATCCTGCACTGCCATTGTCCACGATGTCACAGCAGCACCACAGCCTACAGCGTGCCCGATTCGGTCACCGCTTCCTCCTCGGGTGGGCTGAGGTTGGTGCCACTGCCCCTTTGCAGGGGGATGCCAGCACTGAGGCCGTGGCTGAGGATGGTGGTCCTCCTGCTGCACAGGCTGCCAGCCGAGCCCTGCCTGCGTGGTGCAGATTTGGGGCAGCCCCATAGGGCCAGGCAGCGTGCTGCATCCTGCAGCAGGCGCCCGCTGAAGAACATGTAGATGCAGGGGTTGCAGCAGCTGCTGAGGCTGGCCAGCAGCATGGTGATGGTGAAGGCTGCGTCGGAGGACTCTGGGGAGGCAAAAGGGGGGGGGTGTAAACCTCTACCGGAGTGGGCTCAGGGTGAAGGGGGCTCAGCATGCAGCGCTCAGGGCTTCTGGGAGGTTCTCTGTGGCTTCAGTGCTAAAAATTCCCTCTTGTTCCATTCCCATCCCGTTGCTGGGGTGGCAGCTGGCAGCTTTCAGACCCGCTGCTTCCCTCAGTCTGCTGCCAGAGCACCTCCCAGAGGGCTGGCAGGCTGGGTAATGCCTCGAGCGGGCCAGAAGAGATACTGAAATTAAAAACGTATAAAATGAAATCCCAAATCAGCTTCTCCAAGCTCTGCAGCTGGCTCAGCAAAAGCCCAATGGGCACTCGATGCTATGTGCAAAAGAGCAGTGATCCCTCTGGAGGGAGGAGGGGTAAGCTGCACAGATAAAACTCTCCCTGCAGCCACATGGGAGCACAGCAGCTCCTGAAATGAACTCCCAAATGAGGGGAGAGACACATGGCAAAGTGTTTGCGTAACAACTTGATGCCTCCCTACAGCTGCTGGTCAGAAGTCATTGGTTTTTAATGGGTCTGATGGAGAAAAGCAATGGTTTGGCTCCGCAGAGATGCTATCGGGGAGTTAAGCAGTGCTTTGCCAAAAATAAAAAAAGAAATAGGAGAAAATAAGTGGGCTCCTGCTTGTTAAAAACACAAAGGGCTCATCCCCACCACTACTCACCATCATCAGGAGCATCCTCGTCCCACACCGACCACATCTGCATGCTGAAGAAGGGAGCCCAGCAGGCAACGTAAGCCACCACGATGACAAATGTCATCTTCACCGTGCGGATCTTGGCGCGGGAGATGGTGCGCACGCTGCTGACACGCGAGGGCTGCCCGGAGTGGCACTGTGTGCCCTTCTGACTGCAGCACGGAGTGTTGGGGGAGGCTGCAAGGAGCCCTCCTGCCACGGGGACGCAGCTCTGCGTTTTGCCTTTGAGGTTCTTGCAGATCTCATGGCAGATGAGGCTGTAGCAGGCGGTGAGGATGCCGACGGGCAGGAGGAAGATGCACAGCGTGGTCCAGGTGATGTAGGCACGGGCGCCCCATGGGTACCCAAAGTCAGCCCAACAATCCAGCACCCCTGAGCCCGGCCTCACCTCCCGTAGGGAAAAGATGAAGAGCTGAGGGGTGCTGAGCAGGCAGCTGAGCATCCATGCAGCCCCAACCATGGCGCAGGGCTGGCGGCTGGGCTGGCGCAGGGCGCGCAGCGGGTGGCACACAGCCACGTAGCGATCCAGGGTCATGGCCATCAGCATGTAGGTGGAGGCGAACATGCTGAGCACCTGCAGGTATTTCACCAGCTTACAGAGCAGATTGGACCCTACAAAGCGGTATGTCACCTCCCACAGCATCTGAGGCAGCACCTGGAACAACGCGACGCCCAGGTCGCTGAGTGCCAGGTGCAGCACAAAAAGGTGCATGCGGCTCAGTTTCCTCCCAGGGCGGCACACGGCCAGCAGCACGGCCAGGTTGCCCACCGTGGCCACCAGCAGGATGGCTGCCAGCACCCCCACCTCTGCCCTGGCCAGCTGTTCATCCCGGCCCTGCAGCAGGGTCCGGTTGGGGGTCTCCAATGGGGGCTGAGAGCTCTGCAGCTCTGTGCTGTGTGTGGTCTGACTGCTGTGAGAGCTGTTCCAGTCCCAGCCCGGCTCCATCCCACTCCTCTGCGTGTCCCCCAGCACTGTGGCTGGTTGTCACCTCTGTGTCCCTGTGCACCCACTCGGCGTGGGTTTCCTGTAGGAGTGCAGCAGTCCCGGCTCAGTCTTTGATCTGGGCTGCACTGAGCATTCCTAAATCCTTAAATCTCCCTGCACGGCTCATTTTGCAATCCACCTCTATCCCTCAATTGAGAGAAAGCTCCTCTTTGTCGCTTCCTTTTAGTGCGGTGACAGCAACAGAGGCTGCATCCCTTTGGCCTTTTCCCTCCAGGAGCAGGCAGGACACCAAGGAACCAAGCACACAGAATCCCTGCAGTGAGCACTGCGGGCAGGGTTTTATAGTGGGATCCCCCCTCCCTGCTGCCTCCAGCTGCTGCGTTGCTGCAATCAGAGCTGTGATCCCAGGCTCTGAGGATCTGTGCTGCTCCCTCCCCCCCCGCAGCCCCTCTTCATTGAACTCCACCAATATATTTTACATATCCACGTGCGTTCCACGTTTGTTTTGCAACACTGAAGCTTTGGTTTTCCCCTCCCGGCTGTTGATTTACGCCAAGAAGAAATAGAGATATGCATCTGTTTGTGGAGTTATTACTTTTCGGGGGAAATACAGCAGCAAACACAAGGAGTGCATTGGGAGAGGCTTCTTCCCAGCAGCTCCCTGCCCCACATTGATGGCTGTGTGCACGGCTCTGCCCCACTGGGTGTGATATCACCATTCAGAGGCAATTATTTGCCGAGTAAAGATTTGCAGATCACTTCTAATAACCATAAATGAGCACAGTTTGTGTCTAATTAAAAGACATTCATCCTTCTAAGAGACCCTACGGGTATAAGCTACCTATCATAGGAAAGAGCCTCTGTGAGTTGGTGGCAGGAGGTGTTTTGGGGAATAATGCAATTTGCTGTGGTTGTGATCAGACAGCTGCTTTGCTGGGAGATTAATAGAGGGCAATGCAAAAAAAAAAAAAACAACAAAAAACAACCAGCCCACAAATCAATAAAAAGCAAAGCTGAAGGCAGAGGTGGAAGGGCTGATCCTGTGCAGGTGAAGCTGTACTTCAGCATTTTGAGGCCACACTCAGCTCTCACTGCCACCATTTGGAGCAGTTCTCTCTGCACTGGGGCTGCTGCTCCAGATTTGTGTGTTCAGCAGCAGGGAGAATCCCCCTGCAAAGGTGCTTATGGGAAAGCAGAGCTCATCCACTGAAGGAAAACAAGCCTTGGAAGATAGATGTGCATTTTCTATAGGGAAAGATCATCATGGAAAAGGGAAATTTCTCAAGCAGAAGGATTGAAAAACAAACTCATTGGCTCCCATTGGTTTCCTGCACTTTTCTGAACACGCTGCTGGTGTTTCCAGGTTGTGTTTCAGCCAAACCAGAGCTGCTCCTTCTGCAACAGCAGTGCAGTGCAGCTCCTTGTTTGCACAGCAGCCCAGAGCACAACAGCTGGCAGCACAGGCTGAGCAGGGATGCACAGTGCATGGCATCCACCCGCAATACACGTCCTCCTGCTCCACCTGAGGTCCTGGCCGTGCTGCAGCTGTGAGTTCAGAATGGCCACAACTCAGGAATTGCTCACCCAGAGCTGTGCAGGAGCCCTGGGGCTGAGTGTTGAGCAGCACACAGCTGTGCCCTCACCCACACCACCCCCAGCTGCAGCCACTTGAAGCCATTTCCCAACCATCAGCCCTCAGGAGCAGATTTTGGTGTGGGCTGGTGGTAGAACTGTGCTTTGCTGGTGCTGCTCCTGTGAGCGTGGTTTGCTTCCCAGCAAAGGAAGGAAGCACAGGGGGCCATGGGGAGCCCCAGTGCTCTGCGTGTTGCTGGGTGCTGCTGCAGCACTCTGCATTTCCTCATTCCTCCTGGGTGTGACGCTGAGATACTGGCCCGTGAAACTCAATTTGTAAGTCCTTAATGTTGCATTTGTCAAGGTAGAACCGTGTCACAGAGTCAATTTTTGGCAGCTGGTGGCATCAATATGACACGGAGCAGAGCATGTGAAATGTACGCCGTGTTCCTGCACCCTATGGCACAGAGGGGGGAGTTGAAGAGTAATTCAACCTCTTGGCTTTGTAGCTGGTTCCTTCGTTTTGTAGGTAGTTAATTAATAGGGGAAAAAAATGAAGGAATGAAGGTTGTTGGCTTGGGTTTAAGCACTGCCTTGGCTCGCTTCTCAAAACAAATCTTTTCCTTGGGGTGTGTGATGGGGTTAATCTCGTGTTGCTGACAGCACAAAGCGCGCTCAGGTTGTCTTTTGTCTTGAGTATTTAAAGACTAAAATGCCTTTTGCAGCTCAGGGCAGGAGGGGTAGATCTGCTGGTGTCACACTTGTGTGAATGCTGTAGGGTGGGTGGTGTTGCAGTGGGTTGGGATGGCTGTGGGTCGGCTGCCTGGGGCAGGAAGGAGAGCTGGTCCTCTAAAACCAAAATTAGGTCCTCTAAAGCCTCCAAAATTAGGCTCCACGTTTTCCTTCCGCCCCTGAAGATCCCCCTGCTGTGGGTTCCCAATCCTTACAACCCCAGCTTGGCTGTGCCATTGATTGCAGCCTGTGCTTCTTCTCAGGCCTGGGGAGCTGCAAACCAAAAAACGTGACATCATTGCTTCTGGTTGCTCGCAGTGTTTGTGAAGAGCTTTCAGAGAAGTGCCCACGTGGTGCTCCTCTTATCAGGGCACCGAATGTCTCTGTGCTGTAGTCATCAGAGGATGTGATTGCACCCATCGAGGGCAGGGCTGGGATTGGGCAGACCCAGCTCAGCACCTTCCTGCAGACCTCTGTGCAGTTGGGCAACAGTCAGCTGTGGCACAACCCTGGGGTGCTGCAGGCAGGAGCTGCTGTGATTTGAAAGCAATGAGAAACCAGATGCTCTCCCATCAGCCTCCCCTTCTTCCCCCGCTCCGTTTCCTCTTTCAGAGTTGTTTTGCATTTTTCGCCCTTTAATTAAAACCCGTGATGCTGCTTCGTATTGGAGAGCATCCAATAAATATGCTGAACAGGTCGCAATGGAAAGCTGTGCTCTGGGGTCAGGGCAGGGCTGGGTTTGGTGCCCATCTGCAGAGCAGCAATGGGAAAGCACAGAAGGATGGGAGGGCCAAAGCACATCGCATGCAGCTGGGATCCTTTCCTTGAATATATTTGTTTTCTATTTAACTTCTAAAGCAAAGAGTGAGGGGTGACCCTGGAGTGGTGGATGGCACCAGGGGGTTTCCATTCAATGAAATGAACGCAGCCCTGGGGCTATGGCAGCTGATAGCTCCATTATTGTTTGCTCTTTCTGCTGTACCTTTTAATTGGACACACGTGTGTGGAAGCAGTTAACTGAGGTACAACAAGAGCCTGAGGGCAAATAGAAGCTATGCACCTTCAGGAGGGCAGATAGCTTGTTTGCCAGCCCTGCGTTCTCCTGCTGGTCCCTGTGTGCTCACAGGGGGGTTCAGAGCAATGGGAGCTGCAAAGTGCTTCAATTTCCTTCATCTCCTTCTGCTGTTATCACCATTAGCATTTAAAAACCAGACCCAGGCAGAGGGCAAACAACCTTAAATCAATAATAAAAAAACCCACAAGATTACATTTCGAGGCTGGAAACCGATGGTTTGGGATGGGTGTTTTTCTCTCTTTCATTTATTTATGTTGTTTTCCCCCCTCCTGATGCCACTGTAGAACATCTCCATGCTGAAGTCCCACTGTAACCAGGTGGGACAGGACCCAAATTTTGCTCTATGCAGTGGGAATCTGATCTGAGCATGTGATTTCCCTACTCTGCAGCCTGTAGGGATGGGAGGTATTTCTTCCATGAGAAACCCTGCTAGCAAACCTGCATCCATGGGACGGGCAGCTCCAGCACCTGCAGTGAATCTGGGGCTGCAATGGGCATTGGAATGGAGCTCTGATACAGAATAAAGAGAGCAGAGGCTTTAGGATGTGTTTAATTCAGTGTAAGGAGACAACCGAGACCCTCTCCATGACCCCAGGCTCACTCTCTGCTGTTTTCCCTTCTCTCCCAATGTAAGCACTGCAGTCATTGGGATCCCATTGCCTCCCAGGTGAGAAGCATCAATCAGGATGATGAAAGCAGAGGAGCAGCTGCTTTGGGATGTGTATTAGGAGATGATGAATAACAGGAAGGATGTCTGCAGTGATCCGTGCTCTCCCCACTAAAGCAAAGTTCAAGGCTTTGTGATTAAAGGCTGTTCTTGCCTGCTTGATAATCAGGCCCAGGTTATACCCAGATACAGGGGAAATTTGTTTGGGGTTATGTGTTGTTTCCATGGGACCACTTCTTGTTCGAGTGGCTGGTATTGAGCTCAGTTTGTTTCCTCCAGTTAAAATTGGTGATGCTGGGTATTTCTCACCTGCCTCGCTATCTCTGCCTTTGGCATTATGACTGAATGCTGTTGGGTGGCCAAACGTGGGCCTCCAAGAGGTTGCAAGCAAGGACTTGGCTGCTAGAACTCCTGTGGGATGAGCTGTTCAGCATCTGGGCAACGTGCTTTGCTCTCCTGCTGTCATTTTGTGCACGTGACATGGAGAGGAGGACAAAATAAACCCAATTATGGTGCACTATGGTGGCTTCACCAGTAGTTTAACTCAGCAGATCTGAAGTGCCAGTGGGATTTTTACCTTCTGCCTGCACGATATGTGCATGTTTTATTTTTTTTTTTCTTCCCCCCTCCCATCTAAGTGTGTGAAAATCTCCTAGGAAACGTAGCCCTAATGATCTGCCTTCTCCCCATGCTATGCTTCCTGCAAATGAAGCACAAAGCTGCTCTCTAAATATGCTGCCTGCTTTTCCTGATGGAATGGCTGAGGGCAGAGGATGGAGAAGTGCTGATGGAGTTATGGCACTGGGGTGATGGCTTTGTTTGCTGGCCTCCTGCTGGAGGTCTCAGTTTTTGGGATGCACAGTTTGTTGCAGCGCTCTGAGCATTTCTATCACTGCAGGATCTGCTGGGCTGGGAGGAGGCATGAAGAAAAGGCACAGCAGATGCTGAGAGATTATCACCCAGGGGAGCAGCCTTTCTGGATGTGAATGGGGAGAATCAGCTTCACCCTGTGGCAATGGCTGGGTTTGGGGTTATCACCCCGTGCTGTGGGCTCATCCCACCAGGATGTCTTCTCAATGCTGCAGTGATGCTTTCCCCACACCACAACTTGTTTGGGAGCAGGCAGCAGCTGACAAGGGCTGGCACAACACCATGAGCCTTTGTCCTTTGGTTGGGACAAAGCCAAGCTGACCCGCTCCCTTTCTCTGGGTCCTCCAGCAGATTGGAGCCATGGGCAGGCAGTTAATGCTGCTTAATCCCCTTCCGATGTGGGATGTGTATGAGGGGAAGGTGATAAAGCACACGGCTGCACACAGTGTTCTGCCTGATGCTCAGGTCATCGTGGGTTGCTACCCGGAGTTCAACCTCTGATTCCTTTTTGGATCCTGTGAAGAACGGGCAGAAATTGATATTTTCAGTCTACAATGTTGGAAAATTGTCCGGCTGTTCTCGAAGAGCTTCTTGCAGGCTGGAGGAAACAGCATTTATAG